TATATATATATATATATATATATATATATATATATATATATATATATATATATATATATATAGGGCGGTTCAGGTGAGAATGCACCTTGGTGAAAGAAATAAGAATAAAATCTAGCCTTTGGATCTGATGCATCGTGCGGCTCAGATTGCATCCTGCGCTCAGATTTTGAGATAGTGCATTTTTAAAGGATTTTGGTGCATTTCGACATGATGCATTTTCAAATCATTTTGGTGCACCTAATTTTGATGCAATCCTGATCCTTAGATCTCACAATCTAAAGCACCAGATTCGTTCTTATTTCTTTCATAAGATCGCATTCTCATTTGAACCAAAATCTATATATATATATATATATATATATATATATATATATATATATATATATATATATATAAACACACACACGGAGTATATAACTTTTATTGCTAAAATAGAAATGACATAATAAGATTATTACAGTGTGATAATGTGACACTTTATATTGACATTGCATAATATTTTTTTGTATTAAAAATTGACATTTTTAATATTATAGATATTATTTAAGAAAAATATTACGGAGTAACTTCTTATTATTTTAATTGTTTTTTATGTTTTACCCCTAATTTTCTTCTTATCTTTCTGCTCTCGTTCTTCTTCAGTTTTCCACGCTTCGCTGCTTAGAGCCTTAAACCTAATTACGTCCGGTCTAAGGTAATTCTTGTTTCTTTTCTCCAGATATATGAAAGGTAATGAAACGCAATCTCAGATGTTTTTAGGATTAATGATGAATTCCAATCTGAAACACCAGATCTTCTATTAGCCTTGTTCGGGTGCTTTTTTATTATGCGTTTTTTTTAATATCAGGAGCATTTATTATGGCGTGCATTCGATGAATATCTTTATTTTAATTTTAAATACTCCATTATATAGGGAGTATTGCATCAAAATATCTGCGTTTTTATCATCTTTTTACTTGCGTGTGAATGAAGTGAGCATTTGTTGTTCAATTTGAGCAAAAGGTTTAAGATCCCTTCAGAATGTGTTTGGATGATAGATTTCATGTCAAATTCTACAATTTCTGTTCCAAATTTATGATTCTTCCATTTACAAATGACGTGGTTTTCGTAGTCATTTGCAAATCAATGGTTATACTTTGAAAAGAAGTAAAGAGTATTTTGTTTAATTCCAAATTCTCAAATGTTTTGCATTGCCACACAAGGTAATTGAACCAATTCCACAACTAGAAATGAAATAACCATATCCAAACACACCATATGGAAATTTAGGATGGACGGTGCATTCGTATCAACCTTTGGTGTCTGGTTGTATTCAGAACAAGCAGCCATTTGCTCTGTGTACTACGAAGTGTATTATAATCTACTTGGTAATCCACAAAATGAATGACTGATTGACTTCTCAGCATGCAAAGGTTGTGTGGTTTAGTGGCGTATAGCTTGTAATTGTGGACTTGTGGCTGAGTACGTTGTTTCAATGATTGTTTGGAAATGAAATAGGTCTTGTTTGTTGAATATTTCTAGGGTTAATTTTGCATATTCTGATATTTAGAATAAGCCGTGGTCTGTTTGTTTGAGATATTCTGAGGACTGACTGAAATTTGTTGGTGACTTTGCTCACTAGAATTTGATTTCCAGAATATCATTGATCTGATTCTCTGGAATCAGCAAAAGAATGTAGCAACTGATTCTGATTATAAGAATTAGTCAAAATCTAGTAACTTTGTTTTGGTAGGTGATGGATATCGGTAACTTTGTTTTCAGTTCTCTTTCCCTTAGGAAATAGACTCCCTAATATAGTCTTCGTGCCGCACCCTGCACCCGCACGGTGCTTCATGCGGAGATGTGGCGTAGAACTAAGTTTTGCCTTAAGTAGTATATAATGGGTTTGCTTGGTTTGCTTTGTTTTGGTATTCAATGATCTTTAACTAATGAATGACGTTGTCTTGGCCAGAGAGTGGATTTGAATTATGCCTACATGATGTACTCCACCCGCCTAAAAAAGAAAGCCACTTTATAGTTTACGATTGTTGACCAAAGTTATTTTTATTTCAATTTATTTTACATTGGTGTAGAAATAAAAAAATATTACTCGTATATATTTTAAAATTGCATCAAAAGTTCTACAAAACAAGTGGTAAAATGACTACGTAGTATATTATTTTGTTGGAAATATGTAGTTTGACCATTTGAATAGCAATTGTGCCTTTGTTTTGGGGATGAAGGGAGTACAAGATACAGAGCCATGTGAATAGTAATTTGGCTTTGTTTTGGGGACGGAGGGAGTACAATGTAGAGGGTTAATTTATGTAGGAATCCCATTCTTAACTGGCTGGCCAAGAAATGTTATAGATTTTGTGTATCGGTATTCTATCTGTTTATTGCACCCCACTGGCATTCACTGCACTCTTCCTTTGCACTTTTTCCTAGCCTGAAAATATTCGACTTGGCACAAACAGATTGCAATAGTGAAATGGAAACTGCAATAGGAGAGGCCTCAAACAATTCCGATTCTGATCCAAAACCCCAAGTCATATATCGCTGTAAGAAATGCCGAAGAATTGTTGCTTCAGAAGAACAAGTCGTTCCTCACGAGCGTAAGGGCAGTAAAAAACGTTTCGGATGGGGCAAGAGGAGGGATGATGATGATGCTGTTGAACCCGAATGCTCATCGATTTTCGTGGAACCCATGAAGTGGATGGAAATACGTGCGTAAAATTTTCATTGAAAATAATAGTGACCAAAATACCCTTCTCCATTCTTTTTTTGTTGTTGAATCTTACATTTGTCTTCTTGATTTGCAGTGGAGGAAGGTCTTGTGCAAGCAAAGCTCCATTGCTTGGGGTGCAAAGCGCGCTTAGGGTGCTACAATTGGGCAGGGATGCAGTGCAACTGCGGCACATGGATTAACCCTGCGTTTCAGCTGCATAAAAGCCGACTGGACCGATGCCATTGTTGAGTGAACACATTATCGTTGCATACAAATGTGAATAAATTTTGCTAGTTCGCGTTTCTTAGGATTCTCTTTGTTATCGAATCATGCGGAGGAGACTGTTTCCATTGGATCTTTCTAATTGACAAACCATTGCTGCTGTTATTGCAATTTTTGTCTGAACTCTGAAGTTTCAAGTAGCCATTAGATCCTCTGCTTCAAGGCCGTGAATGCCAGTTTTTGTGTCTCTAGAATAAAATTTAGATGCTCTCTTTGTAAGTTTTGAAGTATGTTGTGGATGGTAGATAGCCAAGTGATTCTTGATATCATCAACAAATGTGATGCCGAACCGGTAAAATTGGGTCCCTGTCTGGTGGTGGTGATAACGATGATGATAATATAAATTTGTTTTTAATTTTTTTAAAAAAATCTTAAAATTTTGGAAAAATTATTTAGGATAATCCAAACTTTCCTTACTTTTTAAAAAAAATAATTTCATTGTTCAGTGTGAGTCATAACAATTTCAACTTTATCAAAATTTGCAAGTTTGGGTCATTGTTAAACTGCTAACGGGTAGTTAATTGATGTTTGTTTTGTACAACAAAATGAAAATGGGATTATTTTAAAGATTTTTGTTTTATTTTTTTTTTGAAATATTCTCTTAAATTTTTAAAATGAGTTTATACCTACATCAAATTTTTTCTTTCTTTTTAAAAATTAGTCTTACATCATAGAAAAATTAAAAAAAATAGACATAAAATATAACAAAAAGAAAAAAACAACTAAAACGACACAAAATTAATTACATCAAATTTTTTCTTTCTTTTTAAAAATTAGTCTTACATCATAGAAAAATTTAAAAAAAAATAGACAAAATATAACAAAAAGAAAAAACAACTAAAACGACACAAAATTAATGAAATAAAAAGATAATCAACAAAAACTAATAAGAAACAGTACGTTGGCAAAAATGATAAGAAATAAAAACATATACGGAGCATTAATGCATTGCTTCCACCCGTTGGTAAAAAAAATGAAAATAAAAATGCGGAACGATAAACAAAAAATTACTTTTTATTAAGCCCTAAAAATAGAAATAAAAATAAAATATAAAAAAAGTAAAAATCTATTTTCTTACTTCAAAATAATTTCATTTTAATTATTTCTTAATAAGAAAAATTATTTGTTTGGGGTTTAAAAAAAAATAAATATTTTTTTCTTATTTTTAATTTTTATTTTCATATTTGACCAACAGAAAGAAGTAATACATTAGTGCTTCGTATAGTGAGTAAAATGAAAACCTACCACTTGGTATATTTTTATTATTATTTGTACCAATTTTAGGTTAGTTTTTATTGATTACCTTTTTTATTTCATTAATTTTATATGGTTTTAGTTATTTTTCTCATTTTTTATTTTATATCTATTTTTTCTGAGGTAGACAAATCTTTAAAAAATAAATGATGGAGAAAGAAAGTCATTTTAAAATTTAAAGAAATGTTTTTAAAAAAATGAAATTCATAAAAAATAATGCCAATTTTCATTAGCAACTTAACGACGAATCAAAACTTACAAATTTCAGTAAAGTTGAAATTAGCATCCATCAAAGTAAAAGGTAGAACTATTTTTGAATGATTAAATAAAGTTGTGATTATTCTTAGATATTTTTCTCAAATTATTAATATCTTTAATTCGAAAATGTTTTTTTTTGTTTGTAATACTTACCATTGGATTGAATATTTCTACAATAACTCACAACTAGTCACAAGTTAATGCAATTCATATGCTCAAAACATACTAAAACTTGATATGTTTGTTCATGCAATCAAAGATCATCATTTCCATACAACTTCCTAAAAGTCTTCGTTTGTTGAATCATGGGAAATACAATCATAAAATGTGTCGAATTCTTGTTCCTTTATGCTGTCTACAACATGAGCAACTACTCCAGCTCCAGCATTATGAAGCCACCCAATCTTCACCTGTTCAATCAAAAATCAGAAATCAACGTTGCGATAGCTCAAAGAAACCTTGTCCAAAAAAACGAAGAGATTGACTGGTTCATATCATAAACATACGTTGATGTTATTATGAGCAAAGAAGGGCAAGAATGCAGACTGGAAGTTGACGTCGACTTTCTTCCACCCCAATTGCTGCAAGCCGCGTATCATTTCCTCTGTTACAACACAAGGGTATAACGGTCCAATATTTATGCACACAACGGGTATACAAGTAGTTTAGGCTGCGTTCCGTTTGCTTGATCAGTTTTTTTGAAGATCTGGTATGATCTGATTGTAGTTATATTTAAAGCTATTTCTGATCTGATCTGATTTTATTAAGAATAAGTAATAAGCTCAAAAAAAATTGTATGGAACGAACCATATATACCTTCAAGAATTTCGTGGTATTCTAAGGTGTTCTGAGCGGTGGGTTCATTTTGGGCAGCCTCCTTTGCTTTGATTGCTTCTGGGCGGAAATGAGGACCGTCGGATGAAATGGCAGGGCAATGTACAACACTGACAACATGTTTGTAACCATCCAAAGATTGTGTAGGTACCTCAATGACTTCGGTCTTCCTTCTTATAGAGGAAGTGCGCCATCCAACAATGTCTAGGTTAAGTCAAGAAATTCTACAACAAGCCCAGTAAAATCCCACAAAAGTAAGGTCTAGGGAGAGTGTGTGTACGCACATCTTACCCCTACTATAAAGTAGAGAGACTGTTTCCAAGAGACCCTCGTCTAAAAAAGAAAAAGCACGAACAAAGAAAGATACGGTCATAGCATGTGTTAGCATACACGATGCGGCTTCTGAAAGTTCCAAGTGCTGATCTGCATGGACCAACAGATAAAATAAAGTGAAAAGAGTTTTTTTTTACAGTAAAATGTTACAGATGTTAAAAACCAAATATTACTCACATAAATTTTCCATCTTCACAATCTGATGCCATTCTTAACAGAAGAGGCGGCTTGTTAGGTTCTTCGTCTGTAAGGAAGAGCTGACTACCGCTTTTACCAGCGAAAATGGAAGCCATCGATACAGCAAGTTTTTCCAATATGGAAAGACCAAAGAGAAAAGGAAGCTGGACCATAAAGGAAAATCAACTGTCTGGATATCAGAAATTCAGAATCAACTGCTCCTTGTAAATCATAAGGACCAAAAGTGGCACGACATGCATTTGTAGTGTACCAAAAGTGTAAAAATGAAAGCAATGACAAAATTTGGGAAAAGCCCTAATATCTGTGGAACCAAAAGTGATCTTTCTTTCTTCTTTTTTTCTTTTTTTTTTTTTGCAAAAAAAAAAACGATTATATATAATGGAGAACACACCTGATTCTTGCCTCTAACGCCGAAATGTGGGGTTGCTAAGGTGATAAAACTGACTGGTTCCAGCTCAGCAATCAACCCTTTATTTGAAGGGCACGGCGGTTGTTCTTTACTTACATCATACAAGTTGCTAGATATGATCGGAGTGTAAAGAACAGCAATGGCATATCTTGCAATCAGTCCGCCTAGAGAATGTGCTAGAAACGATATCTTTTTCAGACTGCTTTTCTCATTCACAACCAGCCTGATCTGTCCACACATAGGATACATTAGTTTAAGGGTAAATCTATTTTAACACCAAAGGTTAGCAGTGCCCAGATAAAGATAATGGTTGTCTCTGTGAAACATGCACATGGTGTCAAACTTTGTCTGTCTATATCGTTACTTACTTCTTCTGCTAGTCGTTTTCCAGCACCATCAATCCCAGCAAATGTTTTGGTGTAGGTGTTACAGGAACTTGCTGTGCATATTAAATCTCAGATGTAAATTCGAAGTATATATGTGACCTCTTTGTGGATCAAAAGAGAAAACTTTGCATATAAATGAACTGAAGTAGATTCATTTAAATTTAAATAATGTACGGGAAAAAATTATTTCAGACATTTCTTCAAACACATTTTGTTTACATGTCAAAATTTTGAAATACAGCAATTACTTTTCATTTCCCTTTGCATTATCCAATGTAATACCAAACATAAGAAAATAACTCCCCTAAGCATATCTTTTTCATTTTCCTAGCATTTTCAGTGATCCAAATTGAGCCTGAATAATTCAGTTTTATCAGATGTGAGATGTTTCAACAAAGCAATGAGGCATGTTATGCGTCAGCAAAACTAGCCAATTAGATTCTGAAATACCAGTTTCCCGTAATAGGATCATAAAGTAATATGAAAATTGGTACGAAGAAATGTGAAATGTAAGGTGGGAACATTTCAATTAGGGAAATAATACCATAGATTAAATAATGTCTTCCAAGCTGCCTCTTTAGTTTTGCTTGAACATAAGTCCAGTCACCCGGGCTGCATCACTTCAAACGTTTAGTGAAAACTTAAATGGAAAATGCACCAGTTTCTAATGCCTATGCAGAGACAACACTAACAACAACGACCCAGAAAGGTCCCACAAGCAGGGACTGAGTGTGGGTGCACACAAACCTAGCCCTACCTAAACAAGTAGAGAGGTAGTTTGCAAAAGTTCTTTGGCTTCAAAAACCAAAGAAAACATGATAGAAAAATCAAATAACCGGCAATAAAAGATGAAGAGTAAAGGTACGTAAAACAACTACGAGATAAAGAACAGATGGGTAAATAACATGCCAAATTTGTGTCTAATAAAGAAGTTACCTTCCCATGATGCCGTGAACAAGGATAAGGAGATGCTCAGGTTCATATTCCACTTCAATGGTTCCGCTAGGTGAAGCAATGGCTTCTTGAGTTGTATTCATAGCCAAAGCTCTCAGGCTTAGATTTTTCCATAAACTTTTCATATCTGCATTAATAAAACACAGGCGTTAAATAAACGAAGGGCAAATAGGCAAAGCAGAAATTTTCTTGTTCACAAACATTTTCTAGCACACACAGAACAAAAAACAAAAACAAAACAGCAATAAAATGGGCATTATCCAGAACAGAAAGAAATCTGGAAAGTTACACATAAAAAAACGAATAAGCGGAAAAAGAAAAGATTTTTGCAGACAAACAACGACTTTCATAGATTTATGTGCACTTGCAGCCATAAAGCTTCAAACTTTTAGCAACAAATTTCACAGGTGCCAAAGACACCAAAAAATAAACAGAACTTCTAGCCTGAAAAGAAAACAAAATTGACATTTTAAGCAAGAAATTACCAGGAAATCTGATGAATTTCATATTAAACCCGGGGTTGAAAGAAGAGCCCAAAGAACAACAAAGCCAAGATGAACAAAGATGAGAAAACGGGCTAATATGAGGAAAATAATGGCGCAACAATGGCGTCAATGACGCCATGGATATACACACACAAACGCACACATACTATTTCGTCAATTAAAATTTATATTATGCTCTGCATTTTTGGGTGAGGCGAATATAGGGAAACTTAACAAGGGGGGAAATGAAAAAGCAATAAAGAAAGATTGGGAAAGTCGGGGCTTTGAGATTGGTGCGCATACCGGGATACGAAAGGCGTTGAAAAAATGGAAACTTGTGAGATCTCCATCTTCATCTCCCTCGACTGGACGTGTAAATCAGGGCATTTCTGCCTCGGCGCCTGTTGAATCATGCAACACATCATCCCACACTTCCTTTTATTTTTAGTCGGTTGCTTTTTATTTAATTTTAAGATAACAAACAAAAATTACTCCCTATTACTATGCTAATATTTGTACATAAATAAATATTACGGAATGTTATAACAATGTGATTTAACAATATTATATCTTAAAATTAACTCAAATATAATAAATTTACATTATAATTAAATTATAATATTTCATTTGCAAACTTTACCATAATTTATGAAAAAGAATACTCGTATGTAATTATAAAGGGTCATTTCTATTGAAAGTTGAAACTCACTCCCGAGGTGGCTCAAGACATGGATTGGGTGGTCAACCACCCTGAGTCAATTTTTTGTGGGGGGGCAATTTTTTCGGTACATACATTATGAATTTGACATTTTATTATTCTTATTGACTTATTACTATAATGTTAATTATTGTTAAGAAAATGATAGACTTTAATTAAAATATGACACAAGGGTCATTTTTCTATGACGTGTTGGGCCATAATTCTGTTTCGAGGATGAACCTGATTAGCACTATAGTGTCACTGTAATTTTGGAACATCTATAGTATCCATTTCATAAAATTGATGATTTATATCCCTCACAACCCCCTCGATAAAACCTTCACTCCGTTCTGACCTGACCCAAACACACTCCCAGAATTTTGTTTATTTTGTGTTCAAAATTTGTGACACTAAAATCAACTAAATTTGGGGGATGATACTGAAGAAGTTGGGGAAGAATTCGGGTCAAATCGAGATGGGAGATTTATCTAGTGGTGGGCAAACAAGTCCTGGAACCGCAGACCGGAACCGAATCGCACGATTCGGGGCGATTTAGGGCCAGGTCCAAAAATATATCTTTAAATACCTACTGAGTCACGGCTGGTCCTCTAACGAAATAAGTCGGACCGGTTTCTAATACGTAGTGTTTAGAAACAAGTAGACTCGGACCGACGTGTTTATTACTATAATTTAATAATCTTACCAAAATACAAATAATACAATAATATACAAAGCATCAAATAAATTTAACTATATTCAATATTGAAGTTTAGTTTTTTCATCAAATTGTATTACTCTCTCCGTCCCTGAGTGTTTGTCCACTTTCAATTTTGCACACCATCCAATGCACTTCTTTAATCCATTTTATCTTGTAATTTGTATATTAAAAAATTATAAAATTATATATTAATAATCTATATGTTAAGACGAATCAAACAAGATCACACATGACTATTTTTAGGCTTACACATTGAGAGAATTTGATGAGTCAAAGTGTTTAGATGAACAGTTCCAAAAGTCAAAAGTGGACAAACACTCAGAGACGGACCAAGTAATAAATAAATTTTATATGGTATATTCAATATCCTGTTAATAAAATTATATATATATACAACATAATTAGTAAAATTTTAGTCGTCAATCGCATTTTTTTCAATTCTTATAGGTTGTACAGCTTCAATTGGTTGAAAGTCCTTTGCATACTTGTTGTTTTAACAAATACACTTGTTACTTAAATTTTTTAAATGTGAATATAGTGCAAAACTATGAAATAGATACTTCTTTACTAAAAAATATTTCCTTCATTTTTTTAAATCATTCCTGTTTACTATTAAAGGCATCACGATAACTTTTGTTTGTATGTATTTTTTCATTAGTAATTTAATTTCACAAAATAAAATATTCTTGTCACTACTTGTTTTGTAGAATTTTTGATGTAGTATAATAGACGTATAGCATGGTTGGAGAAATAGTAAAAAATAGATATGTAAAATACTACTCCCTTTGTCCCTATTTTGATTACAAATTACGAAAAACGAAGAAAAATCTCGAGTTTTTTCAATTTCTATTATTTAAATATTGAGACATAAGTAAAAAATAAATTTACATATATAAAAACTACATCAAAAAATTTACAAAATAAAAGGTGACAAAAATATTTTATTTTATCACATAATCGATAAAAAATACACAAATAAATAAAAGTTATCGTGATTTTGGAATATTATACATTGTAACTAATTGTGGGACGGAGGGAGTATTCGTTTGCTAAAAGAATACTCCCCCGTCCCTGAATATTTATACACTTTTGACTTTTTTTGGTCAAAATTGATATCTTTGAACTCAAATTAAATAAAAATTATATAAGATATTGATACAAAAATAGTTTCATTAGATTTATTATATACAATATTTTTAAAATATTATTTTATCTAATTAATATACAATATATATTTTATATCATTATAGATCAAATGTTGAAAATAGCTGATCGAAAAAAGTCAAAACAGGACAAATACTCAGTGACAGATGTATAGTATTTAGCATCTCATTTCTTAACAAATTTATTAGAGATGCTCTAACAGCATGTAAATAATAGTTTCTCCGTTTCTATAAAAAAAATCTTCAATATTTTAAACAACTTGGAGGTAAGAAAGGTAGGAATGAATTAAAGAAGACATGCATAATTAGAGTCAATGATGGTGTTTTAATCAATGAATAAATGAATCCGACAGACCTACCTCGTCCACGTACGTTTCACATGAAGGAATAAAGCAATAAGGTTAAAATTGTCAACAATAGACAGCCACCTTTGCCTAGCCCGCCATTATTTTATCTAGCGTGACTAATAATCCTATACTCATTTTGTGCTAGTATGATGTTTCTGTGATGATTTACATCGACAAAAAATATCAATACAAATTTTGAAATATAGTTTTAAAATGTTATATTTCATAACATATATTTATGTATAAATATATATATTAATGTCAACAAGTTAAAATATCACTTTCTTAACTTTTACACACCACGTTAATGCGTCCTCAGACTTTGCCTTCTTTTACTCCGTATAATTGTAGGCCCATAAGTTATAAATTTATTTTAATCCATAAATGCCAATTTTCTTTGAATAAAAAAATGAATGTAAAAAACTTTCTACAATTTTTAATTTTTTTTTCGCTATTTATTCCTTTTATTTCTCTCTTCTTTAATTTCTCTTTCCCCCTATACCCTAACCATTTAACTGAAGTCGATGTCAGTTCTGCAAGTATTAGATACAAGATCCACTCTTTATCAACTAATCTGTGGTTAAACTCAAAGTTTAAATGCTACATTAGAAAATAACATATGTTTTACTAGTATTTACTACTCCCTCCGTCCTATATCTTTCTTCCCGTTGCGCAAAACGAAGAAAAACCCAAATTTTTTCAATCTGTTTTATTTAAATATTGGTATAGAAATAAAAAATAAAACATGCATATTTAAAAACTACATCAAAAGTTCAACAAAACAAGTGGTGACAAGAATATTTTATTTTATTATATAGGCCATGAAAAAACACAAATAAATATAAATTGCCGTGAAATTGGAATTGTGTTCTGGGAAGAAAGTTTTAGGAAGAAGGAAAGTAAAAATGTTAAACCAAATACAATTGGAAAACAAATAAATTCAACATAAGCACCTGATTAAGGGTCCCACATTTGGTCTCACCCGTGGACTCAACAATGCGGTCTTCTTTTCCTCTCCCACTCAAGACTCTACTACCATACCAGTAAATACTCTCTCTCTCTCCCCCCTAAAAAAACACTCCCATGAATTCTCCAACACACACCGGCGGACGGCCGGCGACCACCGCCGAGGGATCGTCGCAATCCGCCACCGGCGTCCGTCATCCGCCACCGAGCCGGTACGAGTCCCAAAAGCGGCGCGACTGGAACACATTCGGGCAGTACCTAAAGAACCAGAGGCCGCCGGTCCAGACGATGTCGCAGTGCAACTTCAACCACGTGCTGGAATTCCTCCGGTACCTCGACCAGTTCGGGAAGACCAAGGTTCACGTGCAGGGGTGCGCGTTCTTCGGGCAGCCCGACCCTCCGTGCCCCTGTGCCTGCCCGCTCAGGCAAGCCTGGGGCAGCTTGGACGCCCTGGTGGGGCGCCTCCGAGCCGCCTACGAAGAGAACGGCGGGTCGCCGGAGAATAACCCGTTTGGGAGCGGCGCCGTTCGGGTTTTTCTCCGGGAAGTGAAGGAAAGCCAGGCTAAGGCCAGAGGGATTTTGTACAAAAAGAGGAAAAAGAAGAGAAGGAATGTGACAAATCCGAGTCATAATAGTCCATAATAATAATAATGTCGAGTGACTTGGAAATTGAAAAATATCATCAGAAAATGATTGGTAAGTATTTCTTCCAATGCAACTATTTGAACACTAATCATCCGTTTATGTGTATGTTCATAAATATTTCCTTGCACGTGGAATTAAATTTGTGATTTTTCATTTAGAAGAATCGCCTTAGAGCCTGTGTTTGGTGAGTTCTGCAGATATGATATGATATAGATTTCAAAATTTCTGAAAAATGATATGAATTTTGAAATCTGAAATAAAATTATTTGCAGAGATTTAAAATTATGATTTAATAATTGATTCGCGAAGGTCGCCGACAACAGAGTGGCTAGCAGTGACGGTGGGAGCTGGTGGCTGGAGATGGTCGACGGTTGAAGTTGATATCAAATCTCCATATTGATATCTTCCAAATTGAGGAGATATTGAAACTCTTCATTGGAGAATGTATGATACCTGAAGATATCGAATTTGAATTCTTTTTATGCCTCACCAAATACCAAAAGAATATGATATCGAGAGATTTTTGGAAACTCATATCTCATACGCTCATTAAACTGGCCCTTAGTATTTTTAGGCCATAAGGTCTTTGGTTTTTCTTCCCAACTTTTTTTACGAATGATTCCCTTAGAGTATATAAATAGTTGCTGAAAACTAATGCTTACTTAATCTTAGAATTGCTCGGAAAGTCACCTGAGATGAGCTAAATTAAACTTTTAATCATATGCTAACTGACTAAGGATGTAAATTGTACTCCCTCCGTCTCTGAAAACTCTTCTTCTTCTCGACTGGCTTTTACTTGTCATATTATGACAACAGCTTCAATCAAAACACTTACAGTGTTTCATTCGTAAAATTGATGATTCCTACCCCTTAACTTCCCCTAATCCCCCCACCCTCCCCCTCCTCCTCCGATCGGCTCCGGTAGGAAGGAAGACGTTATTTCAACAAGTAGTTTTGTCATTTCAACCCATTCCTCATATTTGAGGGAATTGCATAACACTAGGCTACCAAATCCAAATAAAAGGAATACTTGAACTGGCAATCATGCACTACACACTTTTTACTACTCCCTTAAATACCGAGAAATCAATTTTTTATCTCACAAAAGTTTGAAAGTAAAAACCAGGCAAACTCAAAGAACATAAGATCATTTTTTTACAAGATTTATACCAATTCAAAAAAAAACAATATAACCAACATGAATGAAATAAAAAACATGAATGCACTGCAATGTCTTTGCATAGATTTATCAGAAATCCATGAAAGTATTATAGTGGTTGAATTTCTTGGCAATGAGAAAATAAAAGTACAATGCAGATATATAAGAGTCGTTAAGAATAAGCAATGGGCAGAAATGAGATTTTGTGTTTTATAAAAATGCTCGATTAGATCTATGTACCAAGATTATACGCGGGATAAATAGCGGTAATATAAAAAAATGCAGCATTTTTGCTGAATGTGACACAGGAATAAGTGAGAATCTAATGATACAAACAAAAACAAAAAAAAAAGTATGGGGTAAATAATAATAATAATTCGGGCAACGGGCAAATGGCAGCACCAATACTTTAATGTTCAAACAAACCCATAATTTGTTCCCGTTTCTGCTCAATAACGCTTCCTCCGGGCAACCACGCATGCTAGCTATACATATCTGCGTTGAAAAAAACAAATAAACGTGAAAATATCATTAAAACAGATCATCCATAAAACTAAATTCCGTTTGGAAGTATAAATAAAACATGCTAGTGAAAGAAGAGAGGAGAATATACTGGAATTGTAACAAGCAATCCCCTTTGTGCAGTTCAAGTGGTAAAGGTTTCGATTATTGAATATTTCTAAAATGATTTTTGTTATACAATCCCGGATTCGCCCTGTTGGCCTAAACACAAGGATTCCTATGATTATCCATAAGCAATTCAAGAGCGCAGCAAGAAAAGCATGGAAGAATATGTAGAGAATTGTCTAGACCATAAACAAGGTGATTTTAATGGTCAGTAACCAAGCTATCATAGCTATTCAAGCAGAACCAATCATACAACAACTCCACAAGGTCCCACAAATAGGACCTAGGGAGGATTGGGGTACCCTTACTTCTAAATGTAGAGAGGCTAATTCGGAAAGACCCTTGGCTAAAAAAACATGAAACGAAAATGTGCCCCTGCAAGTCCAAGCTTTAACAGACTACTTAACCCAACCATGCCTCAGCTGTCTACTTCATTCCTTAGTGGCCAATTCAGAAACATGACATAAGATTTTAGGCAACACGTGATTTTAATATCACCAGGTTCTTTTGACACTGGGAGTGAGTGTTATAATATGACAATAGTCCATTTGGGGACCTGATGGTGCTCCATTTGACCCCAAAGTGGTTACTACCCCTACAAACCCCTTCCCCCATTTGAGTGACAATCCACGACCAAATCCATTTGAAAGTGATTGTAATCCAAATAAGGGCTAGGGGATTTGAAAGTTGTATCCACTTAGGGCTTGAACGGAGTACTGTGGGGTGCCCAAATCAAGAGGGTGTCATATTATGACACTGGTCCTTTTATTATATTCCCCACACACTATAACACCCCTGCCCCCACCATGGTCGGAAGTGTCAGCTCATAGCATTATAGACTGGTCCCACAAACCAACAAAAGTCTTTTCCACGCACTTTATCCTCAATCATGCGTGCTCAGGGAACTTTAGTTCCCAGGGAGTCATCCATCCTAGAATTATTCCAAGTCCAACACGCTTAACTTTAGAGTTTCAAAGTGATGCAAAAATGCATCTTTTTAGTATGAGTAATACTATCAATTCTTTTGAGCTCTTTTCTAATTCCATGTTAACCTAGGGTATCACACACACTACTCCAGAATGGTATATACTATGATCGTTTCGGTTGAATGTAAAAATGCAACAAAACTCCTAACCTTCAAACTCACACACACACACACAAACACAAAAGAATAAAGCATTTGTCCTAAACACAATAAACAAACACAGCTCAATTGAGATGAAAAGATGAGTTCAAAGATTAGAATTTGTGCATACCATCTGATCCAGAACGCTTGGATTGCTTGATCTTCTCGAGCTGGACTTGGGTATCCATGTACAACTGCATCCTCTGAACCTCCAAATCCTTTGCAAATTGCATCCTCTGCTTCTCCAACTCAATCATCTGTCTCTGCTTCATCCCCTCCACTCTCTCGTATATTTCCCCAAACCTCTTAATGGCATTCGCCAGCCTCCTGATTCCCTCGTCCTCTGTGATCCCGTTACTCGTTTCCATCTCCTCCTCCTCCTCCTCGGATTCCTCCCTCTCTTCCTCCTCTTCATCCTCCTCCTCCTCTTCCTCTTCGTACCCCTCTTCATCCTCTGCAGCAGTGGCTGCCGCGGCTGCTGCAGCCACGGCTGAGTAATTCTTCTTGAAATATGAGTCGTCCATGGCTGGAGAGGGACGCTTCTGGGGCAAGATCGCCGGCTGGGCCACTGCAGGCGGCGGTCTCCGGAAGGGGAGGGGCACTCCCATGGGCGGAGAGGGAAAAGGCGGCAGCGGCATAGGGGAATAAGAGGTCAGAGGGAGGGGCAAAGGAGGGCTGCTCATGGACACAGGGGAGCCTTTGGGGATCTGATTCTTCCCGGAGTTCCCGATCAGGAAATCGAGCCGGGAGAAGAACGGCCAGGACGACGTTAGGGTTCCGTTAGACTCCGAGATCTTGGCCTTCTCCGTCTTGTACTTCTTCTTCAGAGTATCGATCCGGTTCTTACACTGGACATCGGTCCGGTGGGTCTTCTTGGTGTGGCCGTGGAGGGAGTTGACGGCGTCGGCAACCTCCTGCCAATCCTTATGCCGGAGGTTCCCCCTGTTGAGCTCCATATACCGGCGACCCCAAGCGTCGACGAGCGTCGACGTGGCCTCCTCGCTCCAGCAATCCTCCCGGAAAGGCAACGGCCGGGGAGCCGGAGCCGGAGCAAGCGAATCCATCACGGATCGGAGCCGGAAATCCAAGAAAAAGGCAGATCAAAGGGCGAATCGCAGGGATCGGAAGAAAGGGAAATTGGAAGGCGAAGAGGAGAAGATGGGAACGGCGAGGAAGAAAAGAAAGGGATAGAGAGTATCGCCGGGATGAGGCGCGTGAGCCGCATGTGTAGGAGTACGGTGATGACGACATCGTCTTGTGGAGTGGAATCGGAGAGCTCGGTGGGGCGCGTGAGGTCAACGATCACGTTGCCGAAAGTGGGGCGGCCGACGGGTTTTAGGACTTTAGGTTTCGTTTACGTTCTTGTGATCGCCGATTAGGATTTTCTTTTGTTTTAAATCTTTTTGTTTGCCTAAAAATTTATTTTGTAATTTAATTTAACTGAACGTCGATGCCTTCGATACATTCCCACACCGGAGTTGGTTGGATCGTGTCCATGCCTCGAATGGCCTTTTGTGCCGCTGAGAATCTCTACAACTTCGCCCCCACTTTCTGAAGGAAGCCCAAGCTCTAGCAATCCATGAAGCACTTAGTAGGCTAAAGGGTTCCACATGGTCCAACATCATTATTGAATCCTATCGTCTCTCTAACAGACTGAGATTGATGATCTCTTCCCCTTGTATGCATTTCTTCTTTTAAATCTCTTGCCCTCTCACTAGGGGCAGAGGTTATTTTCTCCTTTGCTCACCATTCAGCGAAAAGAAATTGCACACGCTCTTGCAGAAGCAGTCCGCTCACCATTGAACATTATGACCTAGCTCTATCCCCCACCTCCCTTTGTACTTCCTCTTTTATGAAAGGCATCTTCCATTTTCCTCAAAAATAAAAAACAAAATAGATTAATTTTAAAATTAGTACTAAGTTGTAGAGTATTAATTAAAATTCATATATGGAGTATCTAAAAAACATATCAAAAGTTCTATTTCATTTATAGTTTTTTCACTGTTATTTAGGGAGTTCTCTCTATAATTACTTGAAAAACAGAATTATGACGACCTCATTTAGAATGTTGTACTACTATTCAATAAGATCATTATCGATGATGGTGGGTATAACTCATTGATGCCACCCGCCAAGTTCCTGGGAAGTAGCGAAGTTTGACCCCACCAGACCTCACTCACCCCGGTAATTAGACCTGGTGAATGTCTGGGTCAGACCTGTGAGATCGTGACTTCATTCCCAAAAGGCTTGAAGATTGACTGGTTTGAAGACTGGCCAGAAGGATGCCTTAAGATGAACACCAGCAATAAGAAATGTTTTTCTATTCTTATAAATAGGAGTAAAAGCCTCATAAAAGAGGAAGCAATTAAAAAACTACACGGGTTGTAATTTGTTATCGGTCCTCATATCATAATAACAAATCAGGTTACCCGTGTTCCCACCTCTAGCTCTTTCGCTTATCATGACTTAGTACTCACATTGGTTTTACACCATTAAATGACATGAAAAAGTTACTTTAAGAATTGGTGATATAATATATTTTACTACGGTTCAAGCTAGCTTCTACGCGTGTGTTTTTTGTTCATCACATTTTTCTCATAAGAAAGACTAATTATGCAACGATTCATTGACCACATGGACTATTTTCCCATTTTTAAAGCTTCGAGGACTGTTTACACACCTATAGAAGACCATGAGAACTCTTTATATATATTATTCTATAATAAAATAAAATATTTTCTATCAATTCTAGTTTTGTAGAACTTTTGACGTAGTTTCTAAATATTTTCAAAATATTTAAATGAAATAAACTAAAAAAATATAAAATTTCACTTTGTTTTGCATAATATGACAATTATTTTGGGACGAAAGAAGTAATCATTTCAAATAAAATAAAGATAAATGTACAATTAAAGTAAAAATGATGTGAAATTGGTGTTCTATTACTCCCTCCGTCCTATAATGATCTTCCCGGTTCGCAAAACGAAGAAAAATCCCAAGTTTTTTCAATCTATTTTATTTAAATATTGGTATAGAAATAAAAAATAAAACATACAAATTTAAAAACTACACCAAAAGTTCAACAAAACAAGTGATGACAAGAATATTTTATTTTATCATATAGGCCATGAAAAAACACAAATAAATATAAATTCCCGTGAAGTTGGAATAGTGCTCTGGGAAGATCATTATAGGACGGAGGGAGTACTACATCTGTAACTAGGCATTTATATACTTCTAATTTTTTATAGTTACAGTCATTCATTTTTAAACTTTGAGCTCGAATTAAAAAAATATGTGGTATAATAATTGGTTAAAATATAATTTTAAAAATATATTACTCCATATAATATAAACATGATAAAATTATTTTTATACAAATATCTAACATTCATTTTACCTAATTGGGGGTTAAAGTATGTCAATTTTAATTACAAAAAATTAAAGCTAGACAAGTTTGATACTACCGCCGTCCCAGAGTATTTGTTCACTTTCATTTTTACACACCATCCAATACACTTCTTTAATCCATTTATCTTGTAATTTGTATATTAAAAAATTATAGAAATTATATATTAATAATCTATATGTTAAGACAAATCAAACAAGATTACACATGAGTATATTTAGGCTTACATATTGAAAAAATTTGATGATTTAAAGTGCTTAGATGAACAGTTCTAAAAGTCAAAACTGGACGAATACTCTAGGACGGAGGAAGTATTTAAGAAATAAAATTGAAAAAAATAATTTAGGAAACTCCGCAATGAATCTGAAAGGCTGGAAGTACACAGTGCTTAGGTCTGAATTAAAGAGAAATTCCCAAATCCAAACAGCACTGTCAATAACAAAATGCCGGTTTTCAAGACCCCCTTCAATGGCTACTCCGTGAAATTCAGCCCATTTTACGAGAACCGGCTGGCCGTCGGAACGGCCCAGAACTTCGGGATCTTGGGCAACGGCCGGGTCCACGTCATCCAGCTGAATCCGAGCGGACCCGTCTCCGAACTCGCCGCGTTCGACACCGCCGACGGCGTCTACGACGTGTGCTGGTCGGAGGCCCACGATTCCCTGATCGTCGCCGCCGTCGGCGACGGCTCTGTCAAGCTGTACGACCTCGCTCTGCTGCCGGCCAACAACCCAATACGATCGTTCCAGGAGCACACCCGGGAAGTCCACGCCGTTGACTACAACACCGTCCGGAAAGACTCGTTTTTGTCGTCTTCTTGGGACGACACGGTGAAGCTCTGGACCGTCGATCGGAATGCCAGCGTCAGGACATTCAAGGAGCACGCTTACTGCGTGTACTCCGCCGCATGGAACCCCAGACACGCCGACGTCTTTGCTTCTGCTTCCGGCGATTGCACTGCCCGGATTTGGGATGTTCGAGAACCAGGTTCTTTTACATTTCTTTTTCTATCTTTTTTTTCGTTTTATTTGTTTATACAGATCAATTCTTTGTTGATGAATAATTCTCGGTAGCAAATTAAATTCCATTTCCCAATTCAATGAATTGAAACTACAAAGTTCTTGTTTTGCTCACTTTTGCACCAAAGTAATAAAATGTGTATATATTGGGTACACTCCTAAACAAGGCATGAAGGAATAAATCTATTTATTTATTTTAGTATTTGTAAATGAAAGTTAAAATTATGAGAAAAAAACTGCAAGAAGGAATTTAGGCAAATGAAGAACAATTAATTGCATGCTCACAAGTTTGGGGAAACACTAATTTATGGCTGAAAATGAAAGAGAAGAACATGTTAATTGTTAAATTCATTGGACTCTAAGGTTGTTTTGAAACCAAGATTGGGTGTCATATCATGACACTAAGCACCCATTGTACGGGGCTTCGTTGGACCAGGAGTGGTTCCTACCCTTCTAACCCCCCAACTCCCACCTTAACCCGCCCCCAAATTGCCATTTTGCTACAATGATTTTGGCCTCAAATAGCCATGTTTTAGTATGACACCCAACCTTGGTGTCAAAAGAACCAGGCTCTTCATTGAAAGCTCTCTAATATTTACATCTCAGAAAGTGGGATTTATAAGTTGTGTCTCTTTTATTTGGTCTCATAAAACTTACTTGAATAAGCTGAATGTGCTCAAGTAAATTATTAGACCATGAATCATCTTTCTCAGGTTCAACCATGATTCTACCTGCACACGAGCACGAAATCCTCTCGTGCGACTGGAACAAGTACGACGAATGTATAATCGCGACCGGGTCGGTCGACAAGTCGGTCAAAGTTTGGGACGTGAGGAACTACAGGGTGCCCATATCCGTCCTCAACGGGCACGGGTACGCGGTTAGGAAACTCCGTTTCTCCCCACACAGAGGGAGTGTCATCTTGTCTTGCTCATATGACATGACTGTGTGTATGTGGGACTACATGGTTGAAGATGCTCTTATTGGACGGTACGATCATCATACCGAGTTTGTGGTTGGGGTAGATATGAGTGTGCTTGTGGAAGGGCTTCTGGCGAGCACGGGTTGGAATGAGCTTGTTTATGTTTGGCAGCACGGAATGGACCCGAGAGCTTCTTGAGGAAGAAGAAGAAGAAGGGCAAGGGAAGTCTTTTTTTTCATCTTTTTTTTTTGGTATTTGTTGTTTGAGAAGATACATTTACAAAGGGAGTGATGATAGTGAGAAGAAAGAATAATGCAGTTGATTTCAGCTTCCAATCTTCTCCATATTGGGATGAAAGTAATGGAACTGCTAATCTTTTTTCTTCATATTTCATCCTATAGGACTCAATTGTATAGGTCTTGCTGAGAATATTGTAATTTTTCAGTGTGGTGTGGTCGGTGGTCCTAATTAATAATCACTTCTCCAACCCATAAAAGAGGCTTTTGTTCCTACTTTTTTTTATTACTCCCTACTTATTTTCGTTACTCATTTAATACAATAATTGTTGTGTCATCTCTTGTTTGATAGAACTTTTGATAATTTATATTTTAATTCCACACCAATGTTCAATGCTCAAATAAATTGAAATAAAAATAATTTCCGTCAAATCTTGTAAATGATAACATGCAATTTAAATTTTAAACTAAGACGGAGGGAGTATTTTTAGTAAGGCCAAACTATTGCAAATTATTTTTAAAAGCTATTAACTTTATTTGATGGTCTAATGAAGTGTGTCACTCTCAGTTTGTTTGGGGTACAAAATTGAACAACAGTAAATATAATGAAATTAGTTTCTTTTGTTCAAATTGTACATTTTTTGTGTGACAAGAATATCTTTTGGAAGAGTTCTTTTTATGGAAAGGATGTAGTGGAATATTCATTGATGGCTGTTTTGAAACTTTAAGCCTCGATCTCAAATTTAGATTTGGTCCAAACTATTCTCTTTACTTCATTTTAAAGGGAGAAAGATCAAAGTAGGACTAAAACATTGAAGATATACTAAAATAGAACTTCCATGTTTTTTTTCCCGAAATAGGACTTACATTACCAAAAATGGTCATATACATGACCAAAAACGTATAGTAATGTGCATATGTACGCTGTCACATTACCACAATGCAAAGTCACATTACCACAGTGCAAAGTCCTATTTCGGAAAAAAAACATGAAAGTCCTATTTTGGTAGTTTTCTCTATGTTTTAGTCCTATTTAGGATGATTTCTATTTCAAAATGTCTGGTTTAGTTGACATACTTAACTAAGGTTGTTTTCAATTAAATTTATGTGATAATTTGGGTGAAATTAAAAATAAAATTTATATATTCAAAAACCATATAAAAAATCCTACAAGTGGTGAGATCACAATATTTTTATCAAATGACTCACGAAAGTTAGTAAAAATGAATAAAATCTAACCTTGCAAATACTACCTCCGTCCCATAATATTTGTCCAACACACCATCCAATGCACTTCTTTAATCCATTTTATCTTATAATTTGTATATTAAAAAATTATAGAAATAACTCCCTCCGTCCCATTTTATAACGTCTGTTTCGGTTTACGATGTTTGACTGAAGTTATTTTCAAATCATTTTATATGACAAATGGTATAGGGTTAAAAAATAAAAATTACATATCAACATCAAAAGATCTATAAAACTAGTAGTGACAACAATATTTTATTTTATCAAATTGCTAACGAAAATAGAGAAAAAAAGTGAATGAAGTTTGACCCTGTGAATAGTGAACAGACATTATAATTTGGGACGGAGGGAGTATATATTAATAATCTATATGTCAAGACAAATCAAACAAGATTACACATGACTATATTTAAACTTACACATTGAGAGAATTTGATGAGTCAAAGTGCTTAGATGAACAGTTCCAAAAGTTAAAACTGAACGAATACTCCGGAACGGAGGAAGTATTAAATTGGCACAGAGTATTTTAATTTGGGACGAAGTAGAAATTTAGAAATAAAAAAAAAGAGCTTAGATTAAAGTCAGGTTACTCTAATTTTCACTAACGTTTAATTACAAATTTAAATATACTCTTAATTTGAGAGTTTAATTACAAATTCATATATACTCTTTAAAATCTAACTAATATGATCTGTTTATCTTAGAAAAAGATATATATAGAGAATGTTTTGTACTCAGTATTATGTATACAAGATATCAGCCTATCAAAAAAACAATTGCAAAATCTTGACATCAATGCATAATACCACCCCATTATTATATTCACAAATTCCTCTCAAAGCTCATTATTTGCTCGTCCATAGAAACGGGAAGAATCGATTAGGAAACGGGATGCTCAAGTTCAAGCAAGCGCGACAGAACTTGCAAACTATCGGGCCTTTCATCCGGTTGTTCCACCCAGCAATCTGCAAAAGTATAATGTAAGAAAGAATTTGGTGAAAAATATAATTTAAAAAGGAAATGCTTAAATGTGGTTTTTTAAATCTTTTGCACATGTAGTGTAAGTCTGAAAATTCTTTTTTGGTATTCATCCTAGTAATTAATGCCATTTTATTTAGTTCCACTCCATTCCCACCCTTAAGATTAAAAAACTATCACAGCTAATATATCTTCAAGTTGGCTCTTTCAAGTCATTTTATTTTAAAAAGCACTCCGTAAATTTTATTCCCATTGAGCTAGAGACGCATAAACTGAAAGTGGAAGCGGGAAGTTCACTTAGCTCTAGCTCCCTTTATAGTCGGCAATGAGTTAAAGAAAGTTGATGTGGAAAAGGTAGACAAAAGTTCGTGATATTTTTTTAAATGTGGTTGATAGAGAAGAACTATAAAGAAAACAACTTTACTTAAATTACAAGGAAGAATAACAAATAAATAATTTTGAAGAGGACCTAAAAAAAAGTTAAACGGAGTGATTGTATTAAAGAAAAAAACAAGCAATGTAAAAACCTGATATAAGCTTTCCCACGGGACCATCAGGGATATCCAACCGTTTCCCATCATTAGCAACAGCATATACTACCTGAAAGAAACAGAAATCATCCATTGGGACTAATTATGGCATTGAGAAGATAGCCTTTGGGAGAAGCAGATGGTGATTACCTGGACAGATGGATTGCCTTCCCACGGTCTGTTAAGTGTGTAGAGCTCCCATATTATAACACCAAGGCTAAAAATGTCACATTTTTCAGTAAAGGGTTCATTACGAATGAGTTCTGGGGCCATCCATTCTGGAGTTCCGGCAGCTGAAGAATCTCTCATTGGTTTTGTAGTCAGTAACCTAGAGAGCCCAAAGTCACAAATCTTGACCTTCCAGTGTTTATTTACAAGGCAATTTGCGCTCTTTAGATCCCGATGAGCTATTTTCATTCGGTGAATGTATATCAAACCCCTACATTGTTAGTATAGAAAGAAAAAAGTAGGCATTTACATGATTGGCAAAAGTAAATTCTGTCTGGATAACTTATGGCACGAGTGTTCTAACATAAATACTTTCTTATTTAAGCACAAGTTCTTTTCTTAAGAAGCCCCACTCTGATTTCTTAAAAAATATTCAAAAAGTTCTTTATTATTGTTAAAAGCATTTTTTCATGTTCCTGCCAAACTCTACTTTTTTTAAGTACTCTTTTTCCCCTCTAAAAAACCATGAAAATAAGTTATTTCCAAACACTCATTCCAAGAAAACAAGTAATGCCAAACACTAGTGTCTGTTGTGAATGTGCACCTGCATATATCACAAAGCATTTTCAGCCTCCTTCGCCAGCTGAGTTTATTTTTCTGTCCACTTGCGTGGATAAGATGATATAATGATCCCATCTCCATAAATTCAGTTACCATGGATAAGCGAGGAGGCTTTGTGCAAGCACCAAGAAACAGAATGACTGCATGAGAAAAACATTTTATCCAAATCATGGCTTGTGTAGTTTTTAATATATAAAGAAATTTATTCTTAGAAAATATGATCTTTTCATGCAGAGTGAAATCAATGAACAGAATGATTTACCGTTTGGATGGCGAATACGGCTGTCAAATGGACAGGCAAAAAAGAAGTCAGATAAAATGTACTTTTTATACTTTGAGTAAGAGATGAACATGAAATGATTGTAATTTAAGTACCTCAATATAGATATTTCATTGGCAAAATCTTCAATATTTTCTTGGCTCAAGTCTTGCTCGAGGTAAACTTTTACTGCAACCTCTATCCCATTCCAAATGCCACGAAAAACCTCACCAAAGAATCCTAGAAAAAAGAAACAGTTCCATTTGACAGAGCTCTAAGACCATGTATAAATTAATATCATTGGAAGAAGCAAGAGGAAAAGAAAATTTACAGGGAACCCAAGGCTATGTATATGCAATCAAGATGCATGCATTGTTCATTTCGTTAGAGGCATGGTGAGAAAATTTCAGTGTTTCTAATGCTCTACATTCAAACAAAACCTAAATTTCAAGTACCGATTTATCCAAAAATTAGCGCATAGTATAACATACTTCTTGTAACGCATACCAATTCCAACACGTATTCCGATGTTTACTTCTGAGAAATCTATGTTCCACTCCTCGAAAGGTAATAATGGCTGGTTCACAAGTTTTGAAGACTCCAGTACTTTATCAAATCTGGAGATCATATGAGGATTTTTTAAAGCTGTTGATCGATCGGCCCTTCTGGGGATCTGATTTTTAAAATACTGAGGGGATGAAGGCAATGAGATAGCTTTATGAGAATTTATGTGCTTCCTCTGCAAAACATATGCTTGGCTACTTCCGTCATTAATCCCTTCATGATCATTGGGATGGAACCTTAGAGCCTGGCAATCAGAAGTACATAAGTGGAGGCAACCTTAAATTGTTTTTCTCTATTTCAAAGCCAAGGGGATCGAACACACTATAGGAGGGGATAAGAAAAATGACAGGGAGAGATTAAACAATGGGTGGTACATTGAAGAGCTTATGAAGTCGACCAAAAAAGTGTCAAGAGAACATACACTTGCTTGGCTATCGGAATCATCATCTCTTTTCTCTGCAGAAAAATCATTAGTTGAAACATCTTGTTCCCTTGGTAGGCGATTTTGTTTGACAGCTTCATTCATTGCACGCACAGCCCTGCGAAATTAAATAAAAGAACTGTTGCCAAGAGAAACTAATACGGACTAGGTTTTAAATCTGTTGCACACTTCAAAAAAACTAGTTCTAATTACTTACTAGCCCTTGTTAATCTCCACTTTGAGGAAATCTGTGGGGACAGGGATGGTGACGGGGTGTGAAAAGTGAGGTTGTTATGTTTCCTTTTTATCATGTTGAACGATATACTGATATACAGAAAATCAAGATTTAGTATATTTAGCTAATTCTGACCACTTTAAATATTTTCCTCTTGAATGTGTTCTACAATGAATGCAAAACGGATTAGTTTCTATACACAGACTACAAAGTATTTAGGGTTGACCACTACTGTTAAAATAGGTCTAGGCGGCCATCTAGCTTCACAATTAGGTTCAAGTTGGCATAGGTTAGGCAGGTGGTCTTCTTGGCGGAGCAAGGCAGGTGGTTTCCTATGCGAAAAAAAAATAAAAATACTAATGTCTTGCATTCATTGTTAATATTTTCCTTTCCTATTGACCAGAAAATAAAAATATTTTCCTAGAGAAATATTCTCCTTGGCAATTTCTGGAACCTTGCCTATTGACTAAAGAATTATAGTATTTCATTAGTTTTTCAATACAAGGAAACTATTTTAATTCAGGTATATTTCACTTCCAGAACAAAAAAAGTGCCCTGATCAACCTTACAATGTTATCACCAATCTCTGGAATCATGCTAACGCATCGCCGTCTTCTCCTGCGGGCTTCTATTGGTGATGCACCAGCAGATCTACAACCAGAGCACAATATATATAAATAAGATTAATGTTAAGGTGAATTCATCGAAAAAAGGAAAAGAAATCCATCCTATGCTGGTTGTGTTCTACAAAATATTGGTCTTATGAATGGGTTTATTTGGCTTCATCATATAGTCTATACTACTCATGGAGTCATGGTCAATGTTGAAAGAATTGCTCAGCATAATTTACAAAATGGATGCAAATTATTTCAAAAATTTAAATCTAAAACATAATTTAGCACAATTTAATAAGATATGATAGCTGAACGGCATTCATCGCCTAGTTTACCAGATTCAAAGAAGCTTCCAGTTTTTTTTTTCCTTTTTTTAAAGAAGCTTCCAGTTTAAACTGAAGCGTATTGTACTCCGTGTGTATTAATTTAGAGTTGCAAGTCTTTAAACCTAACTACAGTCAGCACGGTTTCTCTAGGAATAATTCAAATTATAAGAAAGAGAAAATTCTTTAGTCTATACCAACAAATGCAAACCTTGATGTACTCGTATCATCACAGTATCCTTTGATAGAATATTTCCTATCCCCAAGAATAGATCTTCTCTGTCCTCGAAATAAGTGGTGCTCTGGACTAGACACACACATAACAAATGAATGATCAAATGTATTTTCTAGGGAAAGAAACACTTTAACCCAAACATACAGTGTATAATAGTCAATCTTGTGAACCATGACTTCAGTATCATATATAAGTCCACTTACAATTTGGTTACCAAATAAATGCTACTACTAATTATACCTTGGACTGGTGGCCCGTTGCTCAGATATGTTTTTCTTCCTATTGTGCCACCAAAAGGAACGGGCAACATCTGGTTCACTTTGTGATGAGCTGACGAATTGTGAAACAATAAATAAGCACAAGAAAGACTCTCTTGTAGTCTTGTACAGAAAAAGTTAATTTAATTATTTCACATCACGTTAATAAATAAAACTGATTGATTACTTTCCATACAAGTTCATATAAGTACCAAATACCCGTCAATTATAGACTGTGATTGTAGCCTTCGGTTTGTTAGAGACGGGGTGGACACATTAGTTGATGCTTCTAGTTTATGCTGATATGCAGTTTGGATGCTCTCCCCTGAGGAAATTCTGCAATGAAAAGAAAAGAAAATTTTGATGCGGAATAGCTTTTACAACTTGCATCGCACAAGTCATACTCCCTCCATCCCAAAATAAGATTCATGTTCGGTTTACGATGTTTGACTAAAATTATTTTCAAAACAATATAAGTGAAAATTGGTCTAGAATTAAAAAATAAAAGTCATATATTAAAAAACCACATTAAAAATTCTTCAAAACAGGCACTGACAAGGTTATTTTATTTTATCAAATGATCAGTGAAAAATTGAAAATGTATAAAAGAAGTAGATTTAGTTTGACTTGTGAATAGTAACTAGGAACCTTATTTTGGGATGGAGAGAGTATATACTAAGAAAAATAGTTGATAAAAAGACTCATCTACTAATAAAAGTAGACAAGCCAAACTTTTATGTCTTACCCTTCAATGCCGAGTTGGTCTGAGACGAGACAGATAGGACTGTTGGGTTCAACAGGAGAACAATATGAATTGCTTTCCACAGAATTTATATCACGGCTGGCACATATGTGAGAAAGAAAAAGTGCATGTGATGTAAAAGGGACCATCTTTCCCGGTGACAGCACAAGATCAACCAGAAATTCCACAGAGTTTAGAATAACTGTCACAGATATAGGTTCATATGTAAAATCCCGCTCCAATACTCCTTCCCTAGGATGACCCTGACAACAAAAGGTACTTTAGACATGCTGGAAAAGTTGTAGCTGATATGATTCCATATTAAAAATCCATGAAAAACGGTGCCCACAAACTAAGGAAAGAATAATAGGTTGACCCTGATAAAGAGAAAACTCACCACAATAAGCTTACATTCAAGGCCAACGGCATCTGCAAGGACTTTAAACAAAATTGCCTGGGAATGGTAGTGCCTACTCTTCATCTGGCAGAGCATATGGATACCTTGACTATCCAGAGCACGAGAAACCTCATCAAGTGCATTTCTTCTATACTTTGGCCGTTTGTAAAAATCACAAACCTATAGATTATGATGGCCAGTCAAAAAGCAGAACAAAGTAACTTATTTGATTGCATGGTTGTCTGATGATTGAAAATGACGATAAACATGTTTGTGTTGTTTTTGCATTGCTTATTTTTAAAAAGCAGGGTTGGAAGTTGCTACTCGTGTGCTCTTCATGTGAAACAGATAGCTTTGTAATTTGAAATGGACTTTTTTTAACACTAATAACTCTATTATAAATGGACTTAAATCTAGGGTTTGGAACTCCCTTAAATCCATAATCCAAAAAGGCTAAGCCGTTAAGATGGACAGAAAACAAATCCCTTCAGCCCGTGGATTAATAAAGTTTGCATCTGTTTCCTTCAAAACTTCGATAGACACCTTAGTTTGGTCACTTACTCACTGTAAATCACTGTGTTTCAGATCTATTTTGAAAACAATAAACAAATCATATTTTTTTTCTAAAACACTTCTTCTCCTGAAAAAAGTACAAAAACATATGAAATAATTAACAAGGATATTTCTTTTGGTTCTTATCCATCAAATTTTGAACAACAAAAATGCTACCGGATGATCCTAAGCTATTCAAGAACTCTGCAGAGATCTAGAGCACTGAACAATTTATAAAAATTCAAACTTCCGATGCAATGAGTTCACTTAAAAGTAGGTGCATAAAAAAATCATGTGTCAGCTGCATATGTAGTTAATATTAGAATATGTATTCAGTATTCTTTTTTATCCCTTAAAAATGCTTGATTACTTAGCAAATAGTTTGATTAATTCTTTAAAATATCAACAACTTATTTCTTCTGAACTGAAGTATGGTCACAGTTAGGGTATGCAAAGGTCAGTTAACCCAAAAAAAAGTTGAAAATCCATGATAAGTATGATTAATTACATCTAGGGCTAAAAAACTAAAATAGGAGGATAAATAGGTATGGTAAAAGTAACAGGAAAACATACTAATGCAGCTATCTTCTTCACAACTGCAGCAGGACTAGCACTCAATCCTTTCACTAAAGTAAGAGTCAGTTGCTTTAGCATTGAAAGCTTTTTATCTTTAAGTGTATCAACAACAATAACATTAGGTCTAAGACCCTCTACATCCAAAGAAAAAAGGTCGTCTAAAGACGGGATAGTGTCAAAAAGCTCTTTGAATCTTCTTTCCTGCAAAAGTACAGTATGATTGAAATGAGGTCAAATCCACAACACCACAAGAACTACTTATTAAAGTTATTAGTAAACCAAGACAATTACAATAAAGCTCAAATTAACCACATAAAACTTCATCATAAAAAGTACCCAGTACTTGGTTTTAAAAAAATGATGCAGAAAGCAAAGCATGAAATTTTGGAATGGTGCACCAAATGAGAATTCTTTCAACTTTCCTATCTTCATAATGCTTGTTAAAATCAACAATGCCTCACTTCAGAAAATAAAGTGGAGTTATCAATAATTCAATGATACTGACCGGAATAACAAAATAAAAACCATCGGGAATTGGTTCAGCAAGTTTTCCAGTTGCCCACAGAATCTGTGATGCTCTCTCTGGTGCTGAGCTCTCTACCTCATGTTTGTTTAACTCTTTTGAGTCTGAAGTTTGTGTAGAATAAGTGGCAGAAACCAACTGTAATTTCTCCATAAAATCAGCTGGCCACCATGGAGCATCAGGATTTGATGCCTCCATTGGCACAATGTCGTCTCTTGGTTCCTCCATCTTGTCAAAGATTCAGAAGGATAATTCACCTTGCACCAATCCTATTGTAACGAAAGAAAATTTTGCACAAAGTTGAAAATCTACCCTGGCTTGAACATCTGAAGACTGAAAATAGAGTTGAAAATTTTGCATTGTTGAAAATTTACAGCAGCAAGCATATGCAGTCTTATGTTAAAATTATGAAACTTCTTATGCTGATTTGGTCCCCCCCCCCACCCATCCATATGATCGTATCACATATTTCAACTGACTTACTTAGTAACACAACCATTCATGCTGACAATAGTGGAAAGGGCAATCACATATGCTAGATTGCTAGTTGAGCTTTATAACTTCAAATTGAGAAAAGAAGAATTTTCACTTGCTAAGAAAAATCCCAAAAAAGAGCATATGACCATTAGCAGTGACGTTGGGGAAAAAAGATGGATCATGATCAAAGACTAGTACACGCAAAAAAAATCAAATAGAAGTCAAGAGTTCCACTTCATGCTTGTCATAGGATAACATATTATTTCCATGAAAGCATCTATGGTTCTAGTGATTTCCACCCTTACAAGATCCAAGACAGGCAACCTACTACTGCATTTTCATCTTTTACACACAAAAAGAAAAGAAAAACTCGAAATGGAAAATCGATTGACTATTGATGCAACAAACAGCAGTAGTCATCTGAAAACCATGCCGGTGTTAATAACCTAACAGTTACTCATAACCCAATAGACTCTTCAATAATACCCCAGCATAAATCCCTCTGGTATGACATGTAAATGGTAAAACTCTGAACCTTTATTTTGCATACCAGACCATGTTGAGAATATTTGAACATAAAGGTAAAAAAGTAAGCCAATTTAATCAATCACAATTTAAAGCTCATCCCATGCGATTTCAAATCCCCACAAAAGACCAGTAAGAAGCAAGTAACTACAAGTGTTCCATAAGTTCTAAAATCGAGCTAAGCGCGGCATTGAAGTTTGAGCTAAACTATGAAGTTCAAACGTGTTCCCAATATGTACAATACCGGTAAAATTCATCAAACCGGCACTCGAATTGCAAAAAAATAAAAACCAAATCATCAATACGGAACGAATTTCCAGAGGCTTCAGATTAAACCAGAGCAATCGAGAGAGCAAAAAAATCAAATACCAAATGAATGGCCGTTTAGGGACAAGATTTCAAGGCGAAAGCGCATAAATCAAATCGCGAATGCGAACGAATGCAAGTAGCAGGAAAAAAATTGAGGAGCGGGAGAGAATACCGGAAACGCGGATTGTGGAATGAGTTCTTCGAATCGTAGCATGTGAATCTGAATCTGAGATTGAGGACGGCGATGACTTTTTTTGCCCCCTCTTCATGCATAATTATTACCGGAACCTCTAAATCTGCCCCTTGCATTTATGTGTAAATGTACATTCCTCGTGGGCTGTCTGTGAAGACGATAAACTGAGATAGAGAGAGAGAGAAAGGAAGAAGATGATTCTTACGCGATGGAGAAGATGCCAGAGATTCGGGTCCCATGCAATCTGACTCCCAACTTCTCCATTTCCTTTCCGTGTTTGGGCCCTTTGCCGGGCCAAGTTCAGTGGAGTAGGCCACTAGCAAATAAAGATGCACTCCTATCCTTTTATATATATAAAGCGGAGTCGGAGCTGCGGGAAGACGACATTTGGAAAAGCTATGGCACGACATTTGGCGGAGCAATAACACGACATTTGGCAAATCTGATGTGTCACTTTTTTAGAATATTAAATCTGATGTGGGATCTCACCTGTCACACAGCCTAAGCCACGGAAGGAGGAAAAAAAAAAAGAAACGCAGTTCTCCGTTAGTTTCTTCCCGATCTCTGAAGAATCGCACCTAAAATGTCGCCTTTCCTTTTCTTCCACAGTCAAGCTATCTCCGTTCCATCTCCCTTCCTTTTCTGAACGAAATCAGACCCACTATAGGGTGGTATTATGCAGATTCCATACCATATGAACTACGAATCCATTTCTTGGATTATTATCGTTGAGTGGTTTAGGCATATCAATGGCAGCCGATTTCTACCCATCACAGCCCAATTTCCGGCGTATGAAGTGCTTTTTCGTGTAAAATCAGGTATTCTTTCCTTTGATTCGGTTTGTTCCCTAAATTCATATCTAATTGTTATTCAATTCGTACTCTTCTTAGTTTGTTCCTTAAACATTTCTTTTCAATTCGTAAATCTGATCAGTTTTGCACTCATAGAGTCATTAATAACCAACATTTTTCTATTTTTTATAACAAAGCCCGAATGGATTTTTGAAGCCAAATAGCATTCATAATTACAATGGTCAGTAAACATCTTTCTGCGTTTGCTTTAGCATATCATTTTACATTCAATTGAATATTTTGTGAAAATAATTAGGGATAATATGATTTCCCAATAATAGCAGAAATAAACATTTAGAAGTGTTTGACATGCACTCCTTGCACACTAGGGTAAATTTGAGATTGAGAATGAATTTCAATGATCCAATCTGATTGTGATTGGAATATACTCTGTATTCTATTTTAGAAGAGTAGAGCAACATCATATATATGAAGTCCAGAATACATTTGTGTATAGTGGGTGTTTGTTTTGCATTATACCAACTCCATAAAGCCCATCTGTGCTCCCATTGAAATTGTCCCCTTTACTAGACCTTGGCTCAAGACATTACTGTCAGGGCCACTGGGTTTGACCCAGTATTTTGTATCACTGAAATGGATGGTTCATCTCGAGGCTTTCCAGCTAAGTTGTGTTTTTTACACGTTTCTTGAAGTAAAGAGTCATGTTTCTGATTTTTCCTATAAGTTCTTCCAGTGTATTTATCTTTCTCAATAGTCAAAGACTTTTTGAAATAAATTTAACCTGAGTGTAATTTGGCAATGTTTTTCGCCTTTTTTTGACACGTAATAGCCAGCAACATGTTTCTTCAGCGATTACTACTACCCCTCTTCTTTCTCTGATTTAAACTATCGCAGAAGGAAACGCAAAATTTACGCCGGGTATCTTCACCATCGAAGGAAACTCTCAAAACCCCCCCCTACTTTCACTCTCAATTTGGTATCCTTTCTTTCATTTAATTTAATACGTCTATGACTTCAATTTGTAATCTTTTATTAATATGATTTTCCCCAAATTCTTTGGGTTCTTCTTTGGTAATTATATTGATTTGTTCTAACAAATTCCTAGGGTTCCGAAATTGATGTGTGTGTGTGTACATAATTATATATATACATATACATATTCTAATTATTCCTCTCAAAATTATAGTATCGTCTAATAAGTTCTTTCTTTTTACTTTTCAATGGTTAAAATTCTTCATCTGTTGTCGAAGATCAACCCTACGAGTAAATGCTTGAGGATTATGGTTTGTGTCGTGAGATTGTATACATTACCCGCATTTGGTGATGAGAAGACGACAAACTTCATTAAGATGGTCTTGATGGAAGAACATGTAAGTCCAAAAGTAATTGTGCATCTTAATCTTCTAAACTTCCCACCAAAGAAAACTTTCACTGAGTGTATTTGTGAAAAAATTCCCCTATATGGAATTAAGTTGCTTGATTTTGTTGATATTCTAGGCTGATGCAAAGTATCCATACTTGGCTGGTAATATTGTTTCCTTTTCCATAATATCTGTGTGATCTTATATTTTTTACTCTAGATTTAATTACAATGCCTCAGACACAATGAGCATGCTTTCTGCGGCGGTTATCAAAAAAGAAATAGTTTTAGAGTCCTAGAGAACAAGAATGAGTGTTATCACGTTAGAAGTTAAAGGGTATTACTCCCTCCGTCCTATAATGATCTTCCCAGAGCACTATTCCAACTTCACGGGAATTTATATTTATTTGTGTTTTTTCATGGCCTATATGATAAAATAAAATATTCTTGTCACCACTTGTTTTGTTGAACTTTTGGTGTAGTTTTTAAATATGTATGTTTTATTTTTTATTTCTATACCAATATTTAAATAAAATAGATTGAAAAAACTTGGGA